GTAAGCTAAGTCACTCTTTTGAATAATCCAATCTTTTTTTGGTTTTGAGACCAAAAAATGGATTGGATTAATTAAATCCTCATGCCTCTTTAACAACCCCAAGGATATTCATCTGAAACTAAACATACTTTATAACCTATTCTCAATTCAAAACTAAAATTTTCAGAGGAAAGTATTTTTTTGCCTGAACTTCATCCATCAGCACTGAGGAAAAGAACATGCTACTTTAGTCCAGCTTCTGTCACTTTGAAGTCCACTTTTATCTTCTTTTGAGGCCACATGGGACCCTGAAGGCACACATGGTTTGGCTTGAAGGGTGGGACCATTACTTTGTTAACACCTAAGCTTGGCCTCTTACGACAAACCAGCCAGACTCTGGAGGCTCTTTTAAATTGTAAGATATGAAATTGAGCCTACCCTCACTTAATCCACCACTTCCTGAAGTGTTGTTTTTGTTTGTTTATCTGTTTGTTTTTTTTTAATTATGCAAATCTGCAAGCTCTGGAAGTCTGTCAAATGTAGTTTCACAATCCCTGTTCCTTGCCTCTGGTCTTTGTTTACCCCATCCTCCTGTTCCTTTAGCAGAGATAAACCCAGAAGAGACAAATATCTAGAAGGGATTTGCTTCACAAATAAAAAAGACAATGTGAACATAATAAGATGATGAAATAGACTTACCGTCATGGCAGGAACTACCCTTCCCAGCAAGCTGCTGGGGCAAGAGGAAGGAAGCAGAGTTGGGATTGCCATGGAAAAAGAGCTGCAGAGAGAGAGAGAGAGCGCGAGAAGCAGCCATGTGAGAGATGCACACTAAGACCCAGGACCTGCAGTGGAGCTCTCTCCGTAAGCCACAGTGGCAGGGCTCAGACAGGGAGCCTGGGAATATGGTAACTGAGTGTCCCATGAGACTAAAGACTGGTTGAGAGCACCCCCTGGAGTTAAAGGAGGGCTCAAGATTTCTTCAGTGTATTGCATCACATTGTTTATATTCCCTATTTATTATCTCGTTATTTGTCCCTGGAGGGTTTTATCATTGAGTCATTGCTATTGTCTGTTGTGTATATTTTAAGCATATATACCATAATGTTTTCTCACCCATATTTTTCCCAATCTCCTTGGCCCATTGGCCCTTGACCCTACCCCACCAGAAGCCCCCATATAATTTAGAGAACACTCCTTTGGGCTCCTATGCAGTTTCCAAAGTTCAGTACAATATGATATAAATAAAGAGATGTGGCTTATGTGGCTTCCCTCCCACTTCCCCACCTTAATGTGTAGGAAGATTCTCTCAAATATCAGTGTAGGTATACTCTTAAACACCTTGATGCCTAGTAGAAAATTCAGCCCAAGTTAGGCTCCCAGTCTGTAGAACTGTGAGCAACCAGAACTAACCTATATGAAATGTTTAGAAAAAGTACAATCTTTAAATTCCAGTCCTCTAACTTGCTAGTGTCAGGGGCATGACTAGGACTCAGGAAATTGTGGCCTGATGCCCAAAGGTCACAACCCCAAAAATCAAGAAGAGATGAGGTCAGGGATGCAAGACTTACAGCTGGAGTCAGAACATCAAAAACAAGTCAAGAGGCCATGGTCTTTAAGCAATTGAGATACAGCAGCTACTGTTGGTAGATCCATAAGCCTGGGGGAGGTTAGGAAAAGGAAATCAGGAATAGAAAATGGGGATATGGACTGGAAACCCTAGCTAGAGGGTTCAGAGCAGGAAGCTATAGGTATACAGGGCTTGAACATGGGCAATTGCCAATCTACAACCAGGAGCCAGTTGTCAGAAGACAGGGGCCAGCAAGTCAGTCTGGATTACAAGGGTTCCAGACTGGAGTATGGAAAAAGAAGTCATTAGGCAAGAAGCAGGAACTAACAGGCAGAAAGTGGGAGCAAGGAACAAAGAAGCCAACAAGCAGGACCTACTGTACTAGGAACAAGCAGACAGTAATCAAGAATAGAAAACTAGGAATCAAGAACCAGGAATCTAAGAAAAAAAAGTTATAAGCACATCACTACACAAAAAATCATTTGAGGAAGTGAGCTTAGGATCACTAAAGCTTCCATGTCTCTCATATAAGAGAGTTGATAAGGTAACTCTCTACTCTGCCTTCTGCCTCAGTACTTTCCCAGGTACTGAATGAGAAGCTGCTTATAAGTAGGCAGCCACACTGATGTAGGCAATGGGGACAGCTGAGGCCCAGCTGTAGCCACTTGTAGTCAGGCCTCTTGATAACCAGGACCAGTTAGAGGCAATTTACATACCTAACCTAACTCTGAAAAGAGACACTTGAAATTCATAGCCATGAATTTTCTTTAGAAGTTAAGTATCTAAGCCTTTATGTCAATCTTGCAAAACAAACAAATAAAAAAAATAGAAAAGAGGAGGTAGATATAGTGTCTTTTGCTTGTGTAATTATCCAGCAGTTAAAGCAGTCACCTGAGCTGTGAATAATTATTTTGAGTTAAGTGGAACAGCTTCATTCTTAACCTGCTTTTCCCCCATCTTAGGATGCTCTGTAGATATACAGATGCCTGTATTTCACGTGTAGCTCAGTATAGTAGCTCTTTCATATCTTATGAATTTTATTTGAGCTTAAGGAATCAAGGTGCATACAGAGGAAGTTGAAAATGGAGTAAGGTTGTTAGTATCTCAGTTCTGAATTTAGGTACCAAAAGTGATAGTTAAAATGTTAAGTCCAAAAGCCATTGTGTTAATGTGAGCTGAAGGAGCAAAATAGGCATAGTATTTAGATTTGTGAAACGATGGATGATTCAGCTTATTTTCTCTCTCTAAGGTCAATTATTGGACATGCAAAAAGTTTACTTAGGGGTTCAACTGTCCAGGAATATGCCTAGAAAAGTCCTTCCCCTCCCTATCTTCTGGCTTCAGCAGTGGACAGCAGAAGCAGCAGTAATACTGCAGTGTGCATCACAGTCTGGAATTGTAGTATTATAGAGCAGCAGTAGAGTTTGCTACATATCAGCCTGGTTTTTTGCTGCTGATGCATACATAAAGCAGGCAAAAAAACCTCCAAATTTTGGAAACAAAAAACAGGATGACATTTCTTCCCAGCAGCCGTAAACTACAATGTTGCTCTATGGGACTACGGTTCTCAGAGTGATCTGCACTCTATTACACATGCTGCTGACCACCTAGGGTGCAGACAAAAGTGACAATTGTTTTCCCCAGTCTGGCAACAGCAAACAGTCTAAAGCTGTGACCAAACACGAGTGCATGGCTCTAGACCACTTTAAAAATGGCCAATCCAGTGAAAAACTGAACCTTTTTTGTATAAGGGTTCAGGTGAAGATGCTTCAAAACAGAATATCTTCTATAACTTCTCTCTGCACTGCCTCCCAGCCTGTCACTGTTTTCAGAATGGGAGTGGGGAAAGGGAACGGAGGGAGTTCAGTCTGGGGGTTTTTTTTTAGCTGCTGCTAGAGAGTAGGGTGGGTGTATTGTAGCCCCCCTAAGGTGGAGGAGCTCCAATTCACCCACCCCACCCTACAGCCCCAGATGGGGAACCCCTAGAATGAGCTTCCTCTGTTCCCTTTCCCCCCTTCCAGTCTGAAAATGGAAGGGCTAGCAGGGAGGAGGGGCCATTGCTAGGGGAAACTGGCTGCAGACTGTGTCAGGAGCTAGATTCCCCTCCCCCAGAAGCAACAGTGAACTTTGGTTTGGTTTGGGGGATCACTGTAATTCAAAATTCCTGCAAAGTGTTCTAAGTTATAGCAGGGAACTGCAGTTCTGTTTGTACGTCTACTGATTACTGGAGCTGGAAAGTACAGGCAGTGTGCCTACCCCATCCCCCACGTTAGGCAGGTAGTGCCTGGGGCATGTGCCCCACTTGTCCACCCTTCCTTATGCTACTGAATTTACTGGCAAAATTTAAACATATGTTGTTTGATCTTTTTGGTCCTGAGCTGGCTATCCTGGAAAACAGATAAGATATGAAATTTTCACTCAAACTGCATGACTGCTCATTTCCTTTGAAAAAAATGCTGTATGATGACCTACAATATTGCAATATAAATACTCTGGATGAGCAATTAAAGTTTTGGAAATGAAGATTAGTAAATTAAAAGGTACAGCAAAGGAAACAGGAAACAAACAGGAAAAAATGGAGGAAGGTAGGGATTGAAAGAAGGAAGGAAGGGAATGTGATCTTTATTGGAAATGATTTTCTCTGAGCTGTAAAGACTTTTTTAATGGTGCAACCCCCAATTTTCTCAAAGCCAGCAAAGAAAATTATTTTATTATTTTGATAGCTCTGTAACAGAACTGCCCTTGTGAATGAGCAGGAATAAATCTGACCTCTTAGTTGTCCATATTTGAATAACTTCTATTTAAACAAGCCAAGTCTTCTAAATATTTAAAAGTAGCTCAAGGAAGTCACTTACAATCAAGTCCTTTTGGATTTGCTTCTCTGAAGAGTAAGTTCAAGTGGCTGCTTGTAGAGCTTAACAACTTTGGATTCTTTTCTTTAACATATTCTTTCAGGATAAATAAAGCTTTTAAATATTTAAAAATTGCTGCAGGGCATCAATCATCAAATATTATCTTAAGAGCAAGGATTTTTTTAGAGGAAAAGTGGTTAATGGATGAGCTTATACTCAAATGGCTGCAGTTTGAGCCAGAATTTTACAAAGGAAATAACTGGGATATTTTTCTGCGCTGTGTACAGACTAAGAAATGAAGCACAGCACATAAGACCTAGGCAAAAGGTGGCTTTATACCCAACGTCCAGGCTTCTGTATGAAGTGAAGAGGTAAGCAAGTCAGGCAAGGTACCTCTCCTGAGAAGTTCCCTCCTAGGATGGTATGAGAGCCAGGGCTGCCACTGTGTTTAGCTTACTGTGTGTTGGGCATGTGCTTCCTCTGAGCAGCTGGGAGTGCTGCTAGCTGGGTAATTGTTGGGTGATTGTTTCCTGTGACTGACAAAAATCATAACAAGGGGGTGGAGCCAGTCCAGGCCCAGGATGGTATAAAAGGAGACTCCCTGAGTGCCCATGGAGGGAGTAAATAGAGCCTTTTGCAAGAAAGTCACAGGTCAGTTTGTTGCCCCCTCTCTAAAGAGAAGCCTTTAAAGTGATGTATTTCTTTAATTAAGAATAACTAACCTACATATATTTAGTGTAAGTAGCTAAAACTCAGCGATTAGACATATACTTAAGTCCCTTGTTCAACTACAGTCTAGAGTAAGGGAGATTCTGCTAGGGAGTTTACCTGGAAACTCTTTCACCTTCCTTCACTGTAAGGCTGGTGAGAGGAAGTAGGTTAGCAAGGAAAAAACCTTTTGGGACAAAGGAACAGCAAACAAGCAAGCTTACAGTTTGCTAAGGAAGGTCTGTTTGGAATGAGGAGCAGGAAGAAAGAGGCAGTGGATTAAGAGACCCAGAGAAATGGCAGGAAGATGCTGGAATGCCAAAGCCACTGCCAGCTCTTCCTCTGCTTGCACTGTGAGGTCTGTCTAGGCAGGACTGCTTATTATTGAGGTTTCCAGCTAGGTCCTTGTTTGATGCTGTGGAGACTGTGGATTGCAGGCTCTTTCCATTAACATCCAGGAGGGGGAGTACTTGATATGTGAGCTGCTCTCATGGTGGTGTCCTTCAGGAAGCAGGCAAAGGAGCAAAAGCGGGAGGTGGCGAGGCTCCAATGTATCCTCCCCATGAGGACTTCATTGATTTGATGCTGAAGGAGACCTTTAGGACTGCAGAGGAAGAACTGTCTGAGGCAGCAATAGGAAAGGAAGAGGAAATGGACTCTTAGGAAGGTGGAAGTTTGTGACCTCTGGCAGAAAGCAGAAGTCTTCATCTCTGCCTACAGCAGTTTTCCTGGAGAACAGATATGGAGCCCTAAAAACAGAGGAGGAGGAGGAGAAACATGAGCACATTCCATTGGTGGAAGAGGCCAAGCCAGACATCCCTAATGTTGGGAGGACTGAAAACACTACCACTAAGAGGAAGTGATGGAGGATCATGGTTAGAGACTCTGTTCTGCAGGAGATAGAGATATCCATCTGCTTGTGTGACCTGTTGTCTCGGGAGGTCTGCTACTTGCACAAAGCATAGCTCTAAGATATCACAGAAGGATGACCAAGATTGACCTAGCCCTCTGACTATTACCCCATGCTGTTTATCTATGTGGGCACCAATGATACTGCCAGGAGTGAGCCAACCAAAAATGACTACAGAAGTCTAGGTGCACAGGTGAAGGGCACAGAGGCTCAGGTAGAATCCTCCTTGATCCTTAATGACAAGGGGAAGGGTAAGAGCAGACACATCATGCAGATCAATGTATTACTGTACAGCTGGTGTCACCATGGGGGCTTTGGTTTCTTTGTTGATGGGATGTCATTCCGAGGAGAAGGATTGCTAGGAAGACATGGGTTCCACCTGATGAAGAGCAGGAAGAGCATCTTCACGGACAGACTCACTAAACTAAGTTTGCTGATGGATGGAGACCAAAACCTTGAGGAAACTGGAGAAAAAAGGTGACCTGGAGGAGGGGCAACAGGGGAAGCCTTCTCATTCTTCCTGAAAAAATATGGATATCAGCTAGTTACCTCAGGTGTCTATGCATGAATGCACAGGCCCTGGGAAATGAGCAGGAAAAATTGATAGTCCTACCACAGTCATAAAATTATGGTGTGTTTGGAATAATAGAGACTTGGCAGAATAGGTCATATAACTGTTCAGGTAGGGCAGAAGAGGAGAAGTTTTGTTTTATGTAAAAGTGTTTTATGATTTCTCAGAGCTCCAGTATGAAACTGGAGACAGACCTGTTGAAAATCTCTAGGTTACTGTCAAATGAGATGAGAGAGCAACAAGGGTGATATTGTGGTGGGTGTGCTATAGACCACCAGCCCAAGAGGATGAGGTGAATGAGGCTTTCCTCAACAGCTAATGGAAGTTTCCCTATCCCAGGCCCTGGTTTTCATGGGGGACTTGATCCTGACATCTGCTGGGAGGGCAATTATAGCAGTGGGCAGGCATTCCAGGAAGCTTTTGGAGAGTGTTGGGGACAACTTCCTGGTGCAAGTGCTAGAGCAGCCAATTAGAGGCCATGCTAGTCTCAGCTTGCTGCTCAAAAATAGGAATGCATTGGTGGGGAACATAGTAGTGGATGGCAACTCGGACAGCAGTGACCATGAGATGATCAAGTTCAGGATCCTGAGGGAAGGAAGGAAGGAGCAGCAGAGTAAGTACCCTGGACCTTAGAAAAACAGACTTCAATTCACTCAGGAAACTGTTGAGCAGGATCCAGTGGGAGACCAGTCTGAGGGGGCAAGAAGTCCAGGAAACCTGGTTGTACTTTGAAGAAACCTTACAGAGAGGATAAAAGTATCCTGATGCTCAGGAAGACTAGCAAGTATGGCAGAAGACCAGCCAGGCTTAGCAGGGAACTCTTCAGTAAGCTAACACTTGGAAAGGAAGCTTATAAGAAGTGGAAATATGGACAAATACCTAGGGAAGAGTATAAGACTATTGCTTGGGTATGAAATCAAGAAGGCCAAAGTGCAATTGAATCAGCAGCTAGCAAGGGATGTGAAGGGTAATGAGAAGGATTTCTACAAGTATTTCAGTAACATGAAGATCAGGGGAAGTGTGGGTCCTGTACTGAATGAAGGAGATGACCAAGTGACAGATGATGTGGAAAAGGCTGAAGTACTCAATGGGTCTGTCTACATGAGACACTTTATGGTAAAATAGAGGAAACTTAGTGCATAATGAGCATTGCCATCTACACATGCAGATGCTTACTGCACAGTAACTTGCTCTGCTCAGAAGTTTAATTGGGTACCTGCAAATGCAAGTAGCAAATTGCTGTGTAGTAATTACTTGCCAGTTAAGGTACATATATAGACAGCTGACCTCACCCATGTGCACCCTGAACTGTCTATTGTGAAGGAGCAGTTGGGCAATGTCAGTCACCCATGCAGGTAGAACTCTTACTATTTTTATGAGTGGACCTGTGTGCCAAACAGTATCATACTCTGCTGTGAGGTAAGTAAAACAGTACATGTCTTGAGGTTCCTTTAAAAACTAGTTTCAGTTAATGTTGTTGGTGCAAGTACTTGGTCCCATGTACTTTGAACTTGTTGAAAACCTGGTTGATAGATACAGATTGCCTTGGGGAATCTGTGCTTGCTCCAACCTTATACAACCTCTACACCAATGACCTGACACAAACCCAGTCACAGAAATTCATTTATGCTGCTGACATCTGCTCTGCGATCCAGACTCAGACTTTTTCTGACCTAGAATATACTCTGAATAGTGACATTGCAAAGCTGAATCTAATGAGATTTATTTTGACCCAATCCTCCAATTTGTCTAGGTCACTCTGAATCTGGTATCATCTACAAACTTGCTGAGGGTGCACTCTGTGCCATCTTCCATATCATTGATGAAGATACTGAACAAAACCAGCTCCAGGACCAATCCTGGGGGCATCCCACTTGATACCAGCTGCCAACTAGACATCAAGCCACTGATTACTACACTGAGCCCAATGCTTCAGCCAGGTTTCTGTGCACCTTTACAGTCCATTCATCCAGGAAATACTTCCTTAGCTTGCCTGTGAGAATGCTGTGAAAGATCATATCAAAGCCCTTCCTAAAGTCAAGGTACACCACATCCACTGGTCTCCCGACATCCATAGATTCAGTCTCCTCATCATAAAAGGCAATCGGGTAGATCAGCCATGACTTGACCCTGGTGAATCCATGCTGACAGTTTGTAATCATCTTTTCTTCTCTAAGTGCTTAGAAATGCATTCCTTGAGGATCTGCTCCATGATTTTTCCAGGGACTGAAGTGAGGGTGACTGCTCTGTAGTTCCCTGGATCCTCCTTTTTTCCCCTTCTTAAATATGGGCATTATGCCCTTTTCCAATCATCCAGGACCTTTCCTGATTGCCATGAGTTTTCAAAGATGCTGGCCAATGGCTCTGCAATCGCATCAGCTGACTCCCTCAACACCCTTAGGTGCATCCTATCCAATCCCATGAACTTGTACATGTTCAGCCTTCCTAACTTGTCCCTAACCTGTTCTTTTACTACTGAGGGTCACTCACCACTTCTCCAAACTGTGCTGCCCAGTGCAGTAGACTGGGAGCTGACTTTTCCTCTGAAGACTGAGGCAAAAAGGCATTGAACACTTCAGCCTTTTCTGCACCCTCTGTCACATGGTTGTCTCCCATATTCAGTAAGGGACTCACACTTTCCCTGATCTCCTCTTGCTGATGACATACTTGTAGAAATCCTTCTTGTTACTCTTCACATCCCCTGTTAGTTTCAACTCCAATTGTGCTTTGGCCTTTCTGACTTCATCCCTGCATGCCCGAGCAATGCTCTTATATTCTTCCCAGGTTATTTGTCCAAGTTTCCACTTATAAGCTGATTTTTTTTTTTATTTTTTTTTTAGTTAGTTAACCTAACCCTCCTAAGCCATGCTGGTCTTCTGCTATACTTGCTAGTCTTCTTGCACATCAGGATGGTTTGTTCCTGGACTCTCAGTAAAGCTTCTTTGAAATACAGCTAGCTCTGCTGGACTCCTCTCCCCCTCAGTCTGGCTTTCCACTGATGCTAGACCAGACATTCAGCTACCATGAACACTTGAAAAAGACATCAAGTTAAGACACATAATCTTCTTAACAAGTTGGCTGGGTCCCTGTGAAGCACAAGAGCCTCAACCCTAAGGGTGTCAGCTCTTGCCATCTTGTATTCTGTGGAAGAATTTCATAGTTAGTAGGGTTAGAAGGGACCTGAGCAGATCATCAAGTTGGACCCCCTGCCATGGACAGGAAAGAATGCTGGGGTCAAACAACCCTGGCTAGGTGATTATCTAGCCTTCTTTTGAAGACCCCCATGTTAGGAGTGAGCACTGCTTCCCTTGGAAGTTGGTTCCAGATCCTAGCCACCCTGACTGAAGTAGTGCCTCTTGATGTCTAGCCTGAATCTACTCTCAGTCAATTTATGGCTGGTTTTCCTTGTTACTCCCAGTAGTGTTTGGGGGAGTAGTTTTGGGGGGAGGAGGGACTCTCCCG